TATCCACTTGAGGGAGCAGATGTTTGGAAACTAAAGCCACAGTCCTTCTTGGTTAAGAATTTTGTTTCCTTTTTGGTAGCCCTTTGCCTGTAGAAGGATTAACCATCCTCGTGTCATAAGAGTTGGGTGCTCTGCATACCTGAGGATGCAGATTAGGGCTATCCGTTCATTATTATGTTCACTGCCACTGAGTCATTTCTTGTCTTGAGTTTTATGAAAGGGTAAGATAATAGTAGTAGGTACTTACTTCAAGGAAACCCTCTGGAGTCTCTAAATCATACATATATTCTGTGTGTTTATTGGTTTTTTTTTAATATTTTGTTTAATTTGGGAGCGCGAGAGAGGGTGAACGGGGAAAGGGCAGAGGCAGAGGGAGAAGCAGACTCCCTGCTGAGCAGCAAGCCCAGTGCAGGCCTCGATCCCAATCCCAGGGTTGGGATCTGCTAAAGGCAGACGCCCAACCAACTGAGCCAGCCAGGTACCCCTCACTGGTTGGTTATAAAGAAAACCTAATAGAAGTGGGTCTGTTATATTTTGGCTCTTTACCAGTCTTCTCCTATCGCCTCTCAAAAAAGGGAAACCTGAATGTATTAGATAAGAATGCATTAACGTATTATTGATAGCTCACTTATATTTTTTTCCCTCCCTCTGCTCCGATGGCCGACCCGTCAACTTGGGACTCTGAATCTGGATACCCTCGCTCCCCCGTTGACGGCTGGCATCGTTTCCTTCCTTCTTGTTGGTGGCACCCTCAGTGGTCAAGCAGAGGATGCAGATGTACAATTCACCATACCACCGGGTGACAGACTGTGTGCGGGCAGTGTGGCAAAATGAAGGGGCCGGCGCCTTCTATCGTAGCTACACCACGCAGCTAACCATGAATGTTCCCTTCCAAGCCATTCACTTCATGACCTATGAATTCCTGCAGGAGCACTTTAACCCCCAAAGACGGTACAGCCCCAGCTCCCACGTCCTCTCCGGAGCCTGTGCAGGAGCCGTCGCTGCTGCTGCCACAACCCCACTGGACGTTTGCAAAACACTGCTCAACACCCAGGAGTCCCTGGCCTTGAACTCAAACATCACAGGACATATCACAGGCATGGCAAGTGCCTTCAGGACGGTATATCAAGTAGGCGGGGTGACCGCCTACTTCCGAGGGGTGCAGGCCAGAGTAATTTACCAGATCCCCTCCACAGCCATCGCGTGGTCTGTGTATGAGTTCTTCAAATACCTAATCACCAAACGGCAACAAGAGTGGAGGGCCAGCAAGTGAAGTGAAGCAGCAGAAAATGCAGCCACGTTCTCCGTCTTCTAGCCTGCTCCAGCCTTGCGTGGCGTTGGAAGGAAGGGAGAGGGTTCTCCTGGGGCTGTTGGTGTTTGGCTAACACCAGTTCCTGCCAACCTCTGTTGCCGCCACCTTTCCTTCCGGGCCCTAAGCAATGCAGCAAAGCACACCACAGCACCTCTGATAACCTCTCTCCCTCCTGGGCCTGACGACCTGCTCTAGACTGTTACAGAGGGATAAGCAGCTCATTCCCGTGGTTCCTAATAAAAAGCCTTTAAATTAAATGGTTTCATTGGGTTTGTTTTGCCAGAGGGGAAGTGAAATGCTGTCAACTGCTCTTGACTTTAAGCGTAAATCAAGGGGCCCAACGGGAAGATTTATCACGTCTGTCTGTCCATAGTTTGGGTTTCTTCTGATTTACACAGTGACTTCGGAGCCCTACTCCCTTTGTTTTAGTAGTAGGCTTCAAGGAATCTCTCTGTGGGCAGGAACAATGGCGTTTGACAGATTCTGGCTAAACAGGCACTCTTGATTCCCACTTTTCCCTGGGGCAGTGGCCGGGCACAGAAGAGGTAGCTTTCTCGGCTGTCTCAGCTCTGCCTGCCAAAGTCCAACTCCCCACATGGCACTTTGTTTTCTGATGTCGTCGCAGAACAAGAGTTACTCAGTGAAGCTGCAAGACCTAAAAAAGATTATGTAGCAAATAATAACACTTTCCATTTGGCCTGAAGGCTTTTACAGAGTACTGTATGTGACTTCATCTGGTTCTCACAAAATCTGTGAAGTAGGCAGTCGGAGCATCACCTCTATTTTACAGGTAAGAAAAGCTCAGAGAGGCCATCCCTTGCTCAAGTTCTCACAGCAAGTACAGAACTGAAACCCCAGCCCAGATCTTTTGCTCCCGGAAGTGGACCTAATCGTGTCTTCCTCCAGACAGGAAATGAGAGGAGGGCACGTACTGCAGCCCGTCTCCTGAAGAAGCTCTCCCCTGACGGCCACTCGGGCTCCGTCTGGAGACTTTCGGGGGTGGGGCTTTCACTGTGCTTCATGGGTTGGTCGGTTTCTTTGTTTGGATATTCCCAGTTAATAGCAAGTTCTTCAGTACACAGAATGGAAATCTACCTCCAAGAATACCCATCTGCCATCCTTGTTATGTCATCTGTCATTCATTCATTCATTCATTCATTCAGTAACTGTTGAGTGTCCCTGTGTCAGACACTGATGTTGGGGTTATGGTGATAAATAAAACCATCCCAGCCATCAACGAGCTTATTGTCTGGAGAGGAAGGCAAATGTAAACAGGTACCTACAACATAAAATGACAAGAAACAGATCACCCAGCCTTGGCCTTGGGTGACTAAGGGTGGCTTCTGGAGGAAGTGATATCTGAGGTGACTTCTGGAAGGCAAATTAGCTAACTAGGTGAAGAGAGGAGGGGAAATGTTCTAGACAAAGACCTAGAAAAGAGAGGTAAGAGAGGATAACAAGTGTTGAGGGTTCAGTGTGCAAAGGACTTGGTAGGGCTGACAACCTGGGCAAGGCATGCACCTGGCTGAGTCTTAAAGGCAATACTAAGGAGTTGAGAGTTTATCCTGAAGGCAATACAGAGGCATCACAGGGTTTTAAGCAGAGGTGTGGTGTGATCAGATTTACAATTTAAACAGATCACTTAGGCTCTCTGAGAAAGGATTAGAGGAGCAAGACTGGACAGGCCGGCAGACCTGATGGGAGGCCGCACGGTGGTCTGCACCAGGACTGGGGCAAGGGAGACAGCAGGTGCCAGACTGGCGTGATGTTAGGGTTATAGAAGCAATAGAAATCTGTTACAGAATAAATCTTACCCTTCTTCCACCTGACAGCCCGACAAGTATCTGTGGAGAATCGTGTCTGAATACACTTGAAGAAAAACTGTCAAGGAAACAGCAGGGTCTCCTGTTCTAAGCCTTATTCAAGTAAGCGATGCTGCCCTTCTGCTGTAGTGATGGAAAAGAGAGACATTAACAGCTGGCTGGTGGCCACTGGAGTTTGAATCGACTACGGAGCGAAACGGGCACGATGAAATCGTTGCAGAGGCCGTTTCACAGGGTTTTCTGGTAAAAATGTAAGAGAGTCACTGCCTCCCAGCACACATGGAATGTGAGAACAAAGGCATGCCTCTCCAGACCTCGTCTCTTCAGCTGGCCGGATAGAGCTGCTATCGGCATGGTATGCAGACCACAGTAGGCACTGTGTCAATATGACCATTTTCTAAGAATAGAATATGGGGTAACTTTTTGAAAGAACGACAGTCACTGAAGATTCTCTCAGCTCTAGTGTCATTCACAAACAATGAGAAAAGAATGCAAAAGTCACCTTCCAATCTCCAGCTGTGCCCTAGCTGTTGGAGGACCATTGGTTTGGAATTTGGACAGGGCCTTAGTTTCTGCAGGTCTCTTCGTCCAGTCACTAGAGCGGATAGAGACAGCGTAGTGTGAGAGGGTTGAACGATCTTCGTTCCTGAATGCCTGGGTCAGAAGCCAAGCTTCACCTCCACTCCCTTGAGAGCTGTGGGCCTTTGGGTTATTCTCAGGTCCAGGGCCTCTCTGGAAAGCCATGTAGGTCATGTGGCACCTTGAGGATCCAGGACCAAGATCAGTTCCTGCACAATGCCATGCCATGCAAGAAGTCGTGCCAAAGCTCACCTCTATGCTAAAGCAAGAAAAGAAGTCACAGGTTAGCCAGAGAAAAGTTTTCTTAATTGTGGAGACAAGACTAACATGAATGAAACAGTCTTGTAATAACACAAGACAGAATACAGCCATGTAGTGGATTATACAGAACCAACAAGAAGATTTAGAGACAAAAAAGGTAAGTGTAGGTCAGAGTTATTGGGAAAGATGTGGCTTTGATGAATAGAATTAAAAAATAATTTTGTAAAAGCCAATAAAAGTCAAATCATGCTAATTTTATACAATTTCTAAAAATAGATAAAGAGAAAATACCTCCAATCCCATTACCCAGAGAATATGACAATAATTTGATGTACTCATTGTCCAGTATTTTTTCTATGTTGGTTTTTTTGTTTGTTTGTTTTTTTGGTTAACACTCAAAATTCAGGTCACACTGTAACCAGCTTCTTTCTCGTGATAGTATATGGTGCCCATCTTTCCACATTATTAAATCTTCCAACACTTCAATATAAATAGCCACCCAACATTCCGTTGTACAATGGCTTATTCTGTCAATCACTCGTTGCGCCCTTGTCATAATTTATTGTCAAGAGGCACTGCTGTGGGTAGGTAGAATCTGAATGACAGAAAGGGAGCAGGCTGGCTTACAGAGAGGGTTCTGAGGAGGGGAGTCTGTTTGGTGGTGCCGCTGAAGAGATCCTGGCTGGAGATGTGGGGTTGGAGGGGAGGGCAGGAGGCCCGGGAGAATGTCAGAGGTGGGAGGGTTCTCGGAAGTCATCTTGCTCACCATCCCTTCTGGAGCTCCACTTCCCTCTGCAGCATCCCTGAGAGGGGGTTCCCCACTCCCCATTCCTGTGTCTGGGAGCTCATTGCCGCTCAAGGCCATCCATGACATCGCTGCCAAGTTCACTGCTGTTGGAAAGCTCATTCTTCATGGTCTCCTGCTTCCATTCTAGGATCACGTCGCTGGCCTGCTTCAGTTGCCAAATTCCTCACCATGGCCAACAGGGCTTTCTATCACTGGGCTCCCGCCGATCTCTGAACCCCAGTGTACCATACAAACACAGCGCAATCAGAACAAATACGTATTTTCTTGAGAATCTAAAATATTCCTCCTGTTGTCTCCACTCACTGATTTAGGAGGCCTGTTGAACAATAGTCTGTCTAGACCATCAGAAACGTCACACGATTGGTGTTTAGACCGGACGTGCAGTATTTTGTGACTTCCTGCCCCGTGAGGCTGGTAAATAGAGAAGTCCTGTGGGTGCTGTGCTCAATATTTCACCCGTCATCAGAGCCCCCCACACACCGCCTCACCCCCATCCCCCCAGCCCACATCCACACACACCAAAAACAAAGGAGAATAATTCTTTCTATTGAGGCACCCAGGTCTCCCCGTAGTTTGCACCTAGGATCACCTTCCGCCTGCTGGAGCAGCACGGAATCAGACTAATTCGTCTTCTCTCTGACGGCCTTTCACAACTCTGCAGACAGCTGTCATGCACTCAGGGAGGGTCAGACTGGGGAAGCCCGAAAGCCAGGCAGAGGTGTCCAGACTTGACTTGGCAGCTAATGAGGAGCGCTTGACTTGGCAGCTAATGAGGAGCGCAGCTAATTCTTAAGCGGGAGGGAGATGACTGAAGTCATGTCTGAGGACAACTCCACCAGCAGCCCAGGCCTAGGGCAACCTGGATGGGGAGCCAGCTAGACACGGGAGCTCTGGCCAAGGAGCTGTCATCATCTAGAAAAGAGGAACCTAGGAAAGGTAGTTACAAGAAGATGAAGGGGACTTGGTGGTTCAGACACTGGTATGGGAATGAACCTGTAGGTTGTCTTGCACTCCTCTGGCTGTGTTTCTTCGTCTCCCCAGACTGGGGAACCTGTAGAATCATGCCTCTTTGGTACCATCCCCTGCACTGTGCTTGAAAACCACCTGCTGACAGGGGGATGCAGGTACTGTTGTGGTCAGACACTGAGGTTTGCCTGGGAAAATGGTGTTGGCGTTAGGAATGACCATTTCACTTCACAAACCTGTACAGAGCAGGGAGGGGTCCCAGGGTAGATGCTGGGCCTATGGGATAGGCAGTTTTTTGGTGACAAGGCGGCAAGGCCATCGTCTCCAGTATTTCAGTCAAATACTGATCTAGACATTGCTGTGAAGGTATTTGTGGATATCATCAGTTTTTCGTTGTTTTTTTTTTTTTTTTTTTTAAGTAAGTAAGATTATCCTAGATAATCTGGGCAGGCCTCATTCAATCAGTTGAAAGGTCTTAAGAGCAGAACTGAAGTTTGCCTGAAGAAGAAATTCCAGCTGTGAACGCAGCTTCAGCCTGTGCCCAAGAGAACGTGTGTGCAGAAATATGTACGTACACAGGCACGTAGATGTGCATATGTGTGTATCTGTAACACTGATACAAAATGATTATCTGTCCCACAGTTCATATGTAAATTTCACCAACTGTTCCAACAACGTCCTACTTCATAGCTATTTCTTCCCCCTGATCCGGCATCCAATCCAGGATCACTTACCACATGTTCATATCTCTTTGAGTCTTCTTTAATTGAGATCAGGTCCTTAGCTTTTTATTAATCTCATGAACTCGATTTTTTTTTTCAAATTTAGATTACAAGCCAGTTATTCTGCCGAATGGCCTTGCATTTGGTTTGTATGATGGGTCCTCAAAATTAGATCGAGGCTATGGAATTTTGGCAGATACACCATAGAAATGACACCAACTTCTTCTCAGGGCGTCATATCAGGAGGCACATAAGGTCAGTTTGTCTCTTGACTGGTCTTGTAAACTGACCCAGTGTTTACTGTTGTGTTCACCAGGTTAACCCACTGTAGAATTAATCATTTTCCCTTTGTAGCTAGGAAGCAATTTGTAGAGAGGTGCTTTCCGCTCATGTAAATATCCTGTTTTTCATCAAACTTTCAAGTTGTAGCATCCACTGATGATTCTTGTCTCTGCCGGTTATTATTAATGGTTGCACAAGGATAATATTCTAACTTCATTATTCTTTCTACATTTACTCGTTAATATTCTTCTATGAGAGAGAGTTCTCCCTTATTTATTTATTATTTACATTAGTATGAGCTCATACATTCTTTTTTTTAATTTTTAATTCAAATATTGTTAACATACAGTGTTATATTAGTTTCAGGTGTACAATATAGTGATTCAACAATTCTAGACATTACTCAGCGGTCATCACAATAAGTGTGCTCCTAGTCTCCTCCACCCATTCCCCCATTCCTCCCTCCTCCCCTCCAGTAGCCATCAGACTCTACAGTTGAGTCTATAATTGAGTTTCTGGGTTTGTCTCTCTCTCTCTCTCACTCACTCTTACTTTTCTTTTCCTTTGTTAGCTTTGTTTCTTGAATTGCACATATGAGTACAATCATATGGTATTTGTCTTTCTCTGATTTATTTTGCTTGGCGTTATATTCTCTAGCTCCACCTATGTTGTTGCAAATGATAAAATTTCAGTCTTTTTATGGCTAAATAATATTCCTCTGTGTGTGTGTGTGTGAGAGAGAGAGAGAGAGAGAGAGAGAGAGAGAGCGCTTCTTTATCTTCATCTATTGATGGATACTTGGGCTGCTTCCAAAATTTGGCTATTGTAAATAATGCTGCAGTAAACATAAGGGTGCATGTATCTATTTGAATTACTGTTTTTGTATTTTGGGGGGTAATTACCCACTAGCATGATTACTGAATCATATGGGAGTTCTATTTTTAGCTTTTTTTTTTTTTAAAGATATTATTTATTTATTTGACAGACAGAGATTACAAGTAGGCAGAGAGGCAGGCAGAGAGAGAGGAGGAAGCAGGCCCTCTGCTGAGCAGAGAGCCCGATGCGGGGCTCGATCCCAGGACTCTGAGATCATGACCCGAGCTGAAGGCAGAGGCTTTAACCCACTAAGCCACCCAGGCACCCCGCTATTTTTACCTTTTTGAGGAACCTCCGTACTATTTTCTATACTGGCTGCACCAGTTACATTCCCACAACCAGTGCACAAATGCTTCTTTTTCTCCACATCCTCACCAACACTTGTTACTTCTTATGTTGTTGATTCTAGCCATCCTGACAGGCATGAGGCGATATCTCATTGCAGTTTTGATTTCCCTGATGATGAGTAATGTTGAGCATCTTTTCATGTGTCTATTGATCTGTATGTCTTCTTTGGAGGAAATCTGTGTCTTCTGCCCATTTTAAATTGGATTATTTATTTTTGGGGTGTTGAGTTGTGTTAGTTCTTTATATATTCTGGATGCTATGAGTTCCTAGATTCTTATTTTATTCAAAGAACGTACTATGGGAATGTAACTACTGTTATTTAATGTTCAGATTGCCCCAGATTTGACCAGTGGGATCCTCTTCTGATTCCTCTGTCCTTTTGACATATTGCTACTATCTTTTTAGCACCTCCTTAATTTCGGAACAACATGATATCTAGGTTCATCTTGTGTTTTCTCTCTCTGAGCCCTGAAACCAGCCATTTCTCCAAGGAGTCCTGGTTCCTTTTACTGATGAAAGGTATTTAGAAACCAAGAGCTAGCTGCCAGGTGTGCTCAGTGCTACTGAGTGTCTACTTCTAAGACTTTTAGCAGACAGAACTAAGAAATATGAGTTGATATTGATATCTTATTACCATATCTGTACACACACACAACCATGAACTCATATAGATATCTCCCATTCTAATTCATTACCATAAGATTGATTTTAGTGTTCCTTCTCTTTATCTTTGTAACTCTCTTCTCCAACAGCAAGAATAGGCTCCCATTAACCTCAATATATTTATTCAATTGCTCAATTCTATAGCATACTAAAAACTTTTAGGATTGCTAACCCATACCACTATAGGAAAAAGTCCTTCAACTAGAATTCAATATTCATTGGTTTTTGTTTGTTTGTTTACTCTCCCTTCAGTGTGGTAGTATTATTTATTTGAAGTAGAGTTAGGCTCATTCAATTCTATTTATGTTCCATTTTTAGGTGGTTTTGAGGGTTTTTTCCCTTCTCCTCATCCTTGTTCATTATTTTTTAAGAGGAGAAGTATTCCTTACCTAGGGCCTGTGGGTTTGTGGATGGATTTGATGGGGTCGGTAAACCCCCTGCAGTTTAATGCAAACTATTAGATATGTGTGTACCTTTTCTGGGGAGAAAATCCACAGCTTTCAAAATATTCTTAAAGTGAACTTTAACCTAAAATGTTTAGGGAGCAAGAGAAGAGAGCAGAAATCCAGGGGCCGGCCCTCTTTAGAGTCTCTTACGAGTGGGGGAGAAAGTTTCACCAGCTTATAAGATTCTCCAAAGAAGACAAGTTTCTATTTATCTTGTATCTACGCCAAGTGCCAAGGACACACACAAATGCCAAGTGAAGAGACACCAAAGGAGGGAAGAGAAACTTGGGAGCAAACCTGCACATGCAGCTCACGACTGCTCTTTGCCAAGAAGGCCTAGAACCAAACCAGAGTACAGAGAGGTGGGTTGGAGGAAAGGGAACCTAGCATGAGCATTTATCTATAGGTATACACAGAAAACTAAACCAGGAGAAAATTCTCAGCATGCTGAAGAGACATTGACCCAAGGCTGTGACACACTCCTTGCATAGGTGGTTTCAAGGTCCATGGGTGATTTCAAGGTGGTTTCAAGGTCCCTGCTAAATTAGAGAACAAGAGCAATTATACCTGTGTAGGACAGCAGTGAGTCAGGCAGGGTTTACCATTTGCAAGCATGAGTTGAAAGCTTTCCCTGGGTGGGGTGGGAGGAAGGAACCCACCTTGGCATCTGACATAAGATGTTTCATGTAAGGGTGGCATTGCTCCTCAAGGAACTTCTGCTGCTAAAGAGGGACCTTCTCTCTCTCTCTCTCGCTCTCTCTCTCTCTTCCTTGCTCCCTCTCTCTCCCCCAAATGAATAAATAAAATCTTAAAAAATAAAGGGGGGAGGGGCGCCTGGGTGGCTCAGATGGCTATGTGTCTGCCTTTGGCTCAGATCATGATCTCAGGGTCCTGGGATAGGGCCCTGCATCAGGCTCGCTGCTCAGCAGAGAGTCTGCTTCTCCCTCTATCTCTGCCTCTTCACCTGTTTGTGCTCTCTCTGTCTCTCACTCTCTTTCTCAAATGAATAAATAAAATCTTAAAAAAAAAAAAGAGCGGTCTAGAATGGAGATAATGAGGTGCAAGCCTCATGGTCAAGGACAACCTCCTCAGATGTGTCAAGGACAACCCACTAAGGGCCAGCCAGGAATCCAGAAGAAACCATAAACCTAGTCTGTGCCACGTGGCTCAAAGCTTGTCTAGAAAGTCATGGGCAGGCCACAGCAAAATCATAGAACACAAACTGAGCCCATACACGCTGAGTGATCTGTGGGGTGGGTAAACCAGGGGAAGTCTCCTAAAGGAAAGAGCTGATACACGCTGTGAAAGGGCTGAAACTGAGGAAAGATAAGAGAAGAGACAAGGGTGTTCCACTTGGCAGTGACAGCTCAAGGGATGCTTAAGCAGAGGTTTGGGGCAGAAATGGTTGATCCTCCAGCAGAGAAGGGGGTTTGCATCAAAGACCGATCTGGAGGGTGCTGAGGTCACATGCCCACAAAAGACACTGTTCCTCAAGAGGAATGATGTGATGGTTATGATGTTTGAGGGAGAGACTGTGTGGGGCTGAACTGGGGAGTTGCAAATGCAAGGAGAACAGCAGGGGTGTTACTAGGATCACCGGGATGGGAAGTATCTGCCTGGGCTGGAACAGGTGGCAGTGTAAACACAGATACATATACACAGGTAATAAAAATGAAAATCACCACAAACATTTTATATGGCTCTGTGGACTAAGATCACATGTGCCCATATAGAATTCTAGGAGCAACACTGAGAATTATTTATAATGCTTTACTGAGCAGCTATTATGTGCTGGTCATTGAGTTAACTGCTTGGCTGAGTCTCACAACCACTGCATGAGGGAAACCACGTACTTTCTACCACTCGATATCACATGCTGTAAATTTGCTCAAATGTGAATCTCATAAGAACCCTGTCTGTTCAGTGCATCAGGAATTATCCCCACTTTATAGTAGAAAAAACAACACTAGAGAAGGTGAAGGCCCTCGCTCACAGCCACTCAGCCAAGGGCTGTCCGCCAACACTCTGGACTCTTATTTTGGGGATCCCTACACCTTACTTTCTCCCTCGGTTCACGTACAAGGTATTAACAGAGCCCTCCAGTGTCAAATGTCACTTTGGCCTAGATCTACAGCCCACTTCATCTAAACATACCAAATTCCTGGCATTGGTTCACCAAAGGTCAGTAATGCGGCTCACTCAAGGGTCACTCAGCTGAGTCTAGCCTGCCTGGACAAAGAACCCAAGGAATGGAAGTAGAGGTGAGGGCAAGGTGACCTAAAAGATGAGGTCACCTCCCCATCTTTTAGAAGACATAACCACTCCAGTCTCCTGCTCCTGACTCAGAAAAATGGGGGAAGACACACATTCAATCTGCATTACATCAGGTTGCACAAGACAGAGGGAGGGCAAGCTCTCAAGGTCACCATTATGTCTTCATGCCAGGGTTGGGTCTTAGGAAAGCAAGCAAAATGCTGGCGGTCGCTTGGAACTGGAGCAAGCAAGGAGGAAGTCCCTGGGGAGACACTTGCCTAGGCTTGTTCTGCAGATGGTCCCTCCGGCCCCTCGGAATCTACTCCCACTCTCAGTGCCTCCTGCCATTAGCCAATTGTAGCCACACGCGCACCCTACTCTTCCATTTGAGATGCTCTCCCCCTTTCCCTTCAAATCCTCTTTTCTGGGCCCATGAGCTGCTTGTTTCAGTTTTTCTATGCCGCACAATGACACGGGTTATTATGAACCAAGAGGGTTGCTGCCGGGTTCACCTTGGGAACAGGTGAGTGTAAGGTATGTTTTACATCTGGCCATATCCTCAGATCTCTGCTCTATCACTTGCCCGGCTCACCTGATTCTAAGACTGCTTTCCACAAGTCACAGAAATGACTACAACATGGCACTGAGGTGGGGTGAGTACCAGGCCCACGTGGAGCTCCAGAGAGGGCTGAGGGGAGACCCCATGGGCAGGAGCTGGAAGACAGCCAGAGCCAGGTGGGAAGCAAATGGGCTGCTTTTTAGCTCCAGGCAAAGATCAGGCACTGTATCTGTCCTTATCAAGTTAGCGGCTGGACATGTTTTTCATCTGAGAATGAGACTAAAACAGGCCCTGGAGCAAGGAGTTCAATTCGGAGATTTAGCTTGTGGCCTGTCTGGTAGGTGTTCCAAGACAATGGCTGTGTCCCTCCTGGGGGCACCGCAGATCCCCTGGCAAGAGCTGCAGAAGAATATGAAAGTCTTCGTGCAGCATTTTCTTACGCTAAAGCTCCCATTCCACAAAATGCATTGAGCACTTACTATATGCTGGGCATCTGGAACGTGGGCACTGTCGATGAGCAATGTATAACTTTGCACTTACTATACCCGAGGCCCTATTCATTCTCATGGCAGCCCCATGGGCTGTCTATAAAAATGCCTCCACTTCATAGATGAGGAAACCAAGGCTCAGAAAGACAAGAAACATGCCTGAACTCACACAGCAAGTACATGACAGAAGCAGGATTCCGACCCACGCTTTCCAAGGCTGTGTGGCTCACCACCACCCCACAGGATCCCGGAGAAGTCAGGAGCACTCCTGTCCCCGGAAGCCATGTCCCTGGGGGAAGAGAGAATATAAACAGATCATGAAATGTAAGATGCTCCTGGCTCTAATGGAAGCCCGAAGAAAGTACTCTCTTTTTCTTTTAGCCTATTCCTGTGATAGTGCGTGAGGGTAGGACCCCAGGACCAGTGGAATGTCAGGTGTAATTCTTGTCTTTCTGCGACTGCTCACCTCTTGGTTCGTTATCAGAGAGTCAAGAGGCCAGTGAGAAATGGCCGCTTTGGAGGGTTCATCTAGTCCCATTTATAGGCTGGGACTGTCACATCCGTTGTCATGCTTAAACCCCACTCTGAGGGGTTTAAGGGGTTTAACGGCCCTTGCCGTTCCCTCAGCATTGAATGTGCTTCCCCAGATGCCCCCCAGCTCGCTCGCTCATGTCTCCTGGCCTCTGCTCCAGTCTCCCCTCCCAGGAGAGGTCCTCCTCTAACTCCTTGTCTGAAATAGCTTTCTGGGGAGCCTGGCTGGCGCAGTTAGTAGCACACGCACCTCTTGATGTTGGGGTTGTGAGTTTGAGCCCCATGCTGGGGGTAAAGATGACAAAGATTGAAAGATAATAAATTGAAATGAAATGGAATGGAATAAAATAAAATAAAATAAAATAAAATAAAATAAAATAAAATAAAATAGCTCCCTCGACACCTTTATGCCTTCTACTTAGCTTTCTGTCTCTTAGTGAACTCAGCAGTCTGAAGTTTGATTTTACACTTACCTGTTTGTTGTCTCTCTCCCCAGATGAAGACTGGGCCTACTTCTGTCTTGGTTACTGCTCTACCCCCAGCACCTAAAACAGGATCTGGAACACAACAGATAATAAATAATTGGTTGAGCAAGTGAATCAATTTGAACCTTACAACAATCCTTCAAGAAAAATCATCTTTGACAACATGAACCTCATTGCCATTTTTAAAAATAAGGGACCTGGGGCGCCTGGGGTGGCTCAGTGGGTTAAAGCCTCTACCTTCAGCTCAGGTCATGATCCCGGGGTCCTGGAATCAAGCCCTGCATCGGGCTCTCTGCTCAGCAGGGAGCTTGGTTCCCTTCCTCTCTCTCTCTGCCTGCCTCTCTGCCTACTTGTGATCTCTGTCTGTCATATAAATAAAATCTAAAAAAAAAAAAAACAAAAACCTTTAAATTAAAAAAAAAAAAAAAGGACCAAGCATATAAAAGTTATCTGGCCAGTCGACACAGGGCCTGCCCTTGGGACTGGATGTGTGCCCGGGCCCCTCTCCTTCCCACACAGCCCTCCCGCCCCCACACTGCTCTCTTCTCTTCCCCTGACTCAGTCCATTGTTCTGTGGTCCAGGGTCTGTTCGTTGTTTATAGAAAGGAAAGAAACCCAACACCACCCAGGAGTGCCATTTACCTACCCCGGGCAGGTGGAGTGGCATCCTCTGAGAAGCACGGCATGGTCTCAGTGTCACCTCCTCCCTTCTCTCTGCCACCAAGCATCCAGGGCAGCGTGGTGGGCCAGGTTCAGGTCACCCTCCAGACAGCAAGAGTGGCTCAGCCTCCCCAGTGTTGCAAGGGACACTCGCCTCTCTCTCTCCCTCCTGGCCTTCCTCCAGGAGCCCCACAGCGGGGCACCCACACTCCTGTCTCAACAGGCCCCAGGGGGAGTAAAAGAATCCATCTCACCAATGTGTGGACGTCTGCCTGCAAGGCTTCTCCCAGCATTGCGAAGGTGGAAATGCAGGGAAAGACCCACTTTGGGGTTCCTTGTATGAGGCAGAGGCCACGTGAGGGAGGAGAAGTGAGGGCAAGACCACAGGCCCATGCATGAACTGATAGCAGGGGTCCAGATCTCACTCAAACAAATGAGCAAACACAGGGTCTCAGGGAGCAAAGAAATGAGAAAATCAGCTGGTGGATCTGGGTTTGTGTCACAGCCCACCTCTGATAAAGCTATGCGGTGTGACACAAGGGAATTTACTTCCTTTGCAAATGGGGATAATTAAATAATAGTACTTTTATGCAGTAAGTACAAAACCCACTAAGAAATCTGTGAAGGCATCTTGGAAACTCTCAAGTATCTATAAACACAGAGATGTGTTAAATGTATATTTTTTCTGATTAAAAATAACTCATTATATTGGGGCACCTGGGTGGCTCAGTCGGTTGAGCATCTGCCTTCTGCTTAGGTCATGATCCCAGCAAGCCCCGCATTGGGCTCCCTGATCTTCGGGAAGCCTGTTTCTCCCTCTCCCACTCCCTCTGCTTGTGTTACCTCTCTCGCTGTGTCTCTGTCAAATAAATAAAGAAAATCTTAAAAAAAAAAAGACTCATTATAGAAAACATAACCAATATAATCAACACATAAAAAGTATAAAGAAAATAAAAATCACCTGTAATTCCACTACTCATAATCACTGTTATCATTTCATGTATCTCTTGCATCTCTTTTCAAAAACCCTTGTATGCAAATACATATGATATACACCCGCGTCCCCTCACCACAAGACTGGACTGCACAGGCTGCACGCCCAGGAATTTTCATCATTAATTTCATTACAGCAGTAATCGCAGTCCACACTGGAATTTTATCATTGTTCTGGCTAAGAAGTGTTAGAAACTTATTGCTAATAATTCCTCAGTCCTTTCGTTTAATAAATACATAGTTAGTTCTCTGCAACATGGTACACTGGGGAAACCATTATTACACTAGGAATCACGAGATCTGAAATCTTCCTCTGAGGGTGCCAATGAAGAATGGTGTATGCTCTGGCAAGAAGGCTCTGTGCCTCAGTTTCCCCATCAGTGAAAGGAAGGTGAAAATCTATGCCCTGAAGGTGAGATGAGAGCATGCAGGGGAAGGTACACAAAGCACCCCTCTGTGGGAGGTCCTGTTCCTGTCCTCCCCCTCCCCAACACGCGTGAGTACATCCAGGGAGCCTGTGCACTTGAATTCATCCCTGTCCTGTTTAACAAGTGCTGACAACTCAGGGAGCAAAGGCGACCTTGAGTCCGCTTGTCTCTAAGAGGCTAAAGTGCCATTCCCTTTGCCTCGAGCACTTAACCAACAAGTCGTTCCCATCTGAACCAGAGCTAGAGCGTGCCCTGAAGCGGCTGGCCCAGGAGGTGAGGAATACTGTCCCAGTCCCTTGAGGAGTCAGAGTCTCATCCTCTCTCAGACCACTGGGTCCTGTTTTCTCAAAGTGAGCTCTCCAAATGGCTTGCTTCATAGGGTCCCAGACCAGAGTCAAAGTCTTTGAGGGCGGGGCTCAGGAATCTGCATTTTTAATAGCTGTCTCACCCCCATCCTGGCAAAGACTTAAAACCACCCACCACCACCACCACCACAACTGAGATGCGCTCATAAAGTCTGAGAACTGACCTGTTAACAGCTCATTTGGGAAGACTGATGATCAAGGTTACAAAGCCATGAGTGGCCAAGCTGGAGTCAAAGGACCAGAACTCACATTTCTTCCTCAATCTTTCTCTGCTTCTTTCTCCTTCTTTCTGTCTTCCTTCGCTCCTTGCCCTCCTCCCTTCCTTATTTTCTCTTTTTCTTCCAAGAAAATAGGCTTTTCTCATCACATACAGTTTGGCACTGGGATTCCCATTTACTGGGCAGTGCTGCTCCACACGGTTATAGAATTCAGATTTCTTGTTTGTATTTAAATAATGTTCTAGGGTTGTTTTTTTTTTTTTTCCTTTTAAAGTCATAATTCTTTTTTTTAATTTTTTAAATAATTTTTTAATTTTTTAATAAACATATAATGTATTATTGGCCCCAGGAGTATAGGTCTATGAATCGCCAGGTTTACACACTTCACAGCACTCACCATAGCACATACCGTCCCCAGTGTCCATAACCCACCCACCCTCTCCCTGCCCCTCTCCCCCCGGCCACCCTCAGTTTGTTCTGTGAGATTAAGAAAAGTCATAATTCTTTTTAAAGTCAGTAACCAGGAGGGGTGTCTGGGTGGCTCAGTGGGTTAAAGCCTCGGCTTTCGGCTCAGGTCATGATCCTGGGGTCCTGGGATCGAGCCCCGCATCGGGCTCTCTGCTCCTCGGAGAGCCTGCTTCCTCCTCTCTCTCCCTGCCTGCCTCTCTTGCCTACTTGTGACCTCTGTCAAATAAATAAATAAAATCTTAAAAAAAAAAAAAAAGATTTAAAGTCAGTAACCAGGAAAGATGGCCTGACGCATTGTAACGAATCACCATAATTCTTCCTCTGCCGGTGGGAGCTAGAACATGGGAAGAAGGAAAACAAGTGGTGTGGGAATAAGCGAAAGTTTCATTAGTTCACGTGTGAATGCATTCATTTATTCACCAAATGTCACTAAACACCTAGTAGGTGATTGGTGCTGGGAATTCAACAGCCTTCCTTCTAAGTCAGCTCATGACACAGCACTGCTAACTGAAAAATGAAACTGGATGTCTCAGTGAACAAGCCCTGGGCCAAAAAGGGCCAGGGGCAGCTGTTGGGGGGTGGGGGGGGGCTACAGAGAGAAGACGGTCCCAAGCCCACCTTTGTTCTCTCAAATGACCATCTCTCTTTTTTCTCTCTCGCTCTCTTTCTCTTTCTCTTTTTTGTTAATTTTGGTACTGAGTTTTAAAATTTATATTATTTCATTTATTTATTGTTTTCAGTTAGCCAGCATAAATAGTACACCATAAGTTTTTGTTGTATTGTTTAACAATTCATTTTTTTTTTAAGGTTTTATTTATTTGACAGAGAGTCAACCAGAGAGGGAACACAAGCAGGGGGAGTGGGAGAGGGAGAAGCAGGCTTTCCGATGAGTGGGGAGCCCGATTTGGGGTTCGATCCCAGGACCCTGGGATCATGACCTGAGCTGAAGGCAGATGCTTAACGACTGAGCCACCCAGGCCCCCTTGTTTAGTTGCATATAACACCCAGTGCTCCATCTCTCTCGGTTTCCCTCTTTTGGGAGGGGCAGAATGTATGCTGCAAGAGTCACATACGGTGTTTTTACTCCCAAATTGGCCACATCCTTGGCTCGAGAACAGAATCCAGGGTGGGGAAGGAAGGGGACTTCCGCTCTCCCAGAGCATCAGCGCCTGGCATGCTGAGAACGCCAGGGAGGCAATCCGTGGCATCCCTGGACAGACCGGCAGGCTTAGCTGACCACACAGAGCCAATAAACATCATCTCCCTGGATTTTCATAAGGTTTTGAATGGGTTCCCACACTTAAGTAGTCCTTGAGAAACTTAGAAAAGATGGCTGAGTATAAAAGTTTCATAAGCAGGATGTTGGGGAGATTAAGGGTGCTGTTTAGCACCCTCCAAAATCATTTTTGCCATTAATTTGCTCTGCCTCACGTGGTCTCCTAGTCAGCCTTGTCTTCTTCCTTCTCTCTCTCTCTCTAATCTCAGTGGCCCTTTAGAACTGTACGTCATCTTCCACAGACCCATGCCACTTTGCACAGGGCTGTACCCTGGGACTTGCACAAAGCTGGGGTCAAGGGAGGTATAGCAGAATGATCTCAGCACACAAAGGCCACTTTCTGTTCCAGCCTTAAACACTGAAGACATAAAACCATTCTTAAATATGTGCTGGCTGAGTATATGGAGGATAAAACATCCTTTTGAAGATAAACTTGCTTTTGTACAGTCAGGTCATTATGTACTGTCACAAAAGCATGGTCCTGGCAGAGGGGAAAGCACCGTGAAGGCAGATAAAGGAGGCAAAATTGCCTGGGGTGGGGGGTCAAAACATCAGGGTGGCAGCGGCCCAGAGGCATGAGGTGACTGAGACTGAGGAAACCGCTCAGAGCGCTGTCTCCCTCCACGGACAGTCACCCCAT